GCTGTCACCAAAGGTGCCTGCTTTGGTGTGCTTTGTCGTGGGAAGTGTTCTCCCAGGCTCCTAAGATTGAGACCTACAGGACTTGGGGTCACATTCTATTTTGGACCCAGCCTGATCATTCAGACTTTGTAAGTCAGATTCGGTTCCAAAGATCTTTTGATAATTTCCAAATAACAAATCCACCTTTCAAAGGACAAGGATTTGTTAGTAGGGAGGATTTTCAGAAGAATTTGCTGAAACCCATTCCAAAAGAGGAGCACTGCAAAACCTTTCTGAGTCTGACCAATAGCCACAGCATTCAAATAAGCATTTCGTCTCCTGAAGGAAAAATGATGAAGGGGACAACAGTAATTTGGATGTACAAGTTCTGGTGTGTTTGTATTATGATAAGAAAGAAAAAAAATTAAGTCTCCTAATTATACACTCACCTTGAATAATGTGATAGGCAGTAATACAGTAATGGAAATGCACTCAGTGTTTTGGATAGGAAAATTCAACTGCCATTCAGACAATATATGACTGCTATTCACCCCACTCACTTTGATAAAAAAGTGAAGTGACTTACACACCAAGAATCAGTGGAACAGACAAATTCCTGGGACAACATTTTGTTTGATTCTAATTTACAACATCTGTGGAAAATTCAACTGCCATTCAGACAATATATGACTGCTATTCACCCCACTCACTTTGATAAAAAAGTGAAGTGACTTACACACCAAGAATCAGTGGAACAGACAAATTCCTGGGACAACATTTTGTTTGATTCTAATTTACAACATCTGTAAGATCAAGGCAAAAAAAAAAAAAAAAAAAAGCACCCCTAACGTACACCTCCCACCTTCCCACCAGTTCTGAATAGCGCCCCCCTCCTAATACAAACACATCAAAAAAAAATCAAGACTTGGGAATTTAAAAACATTGTGCTGGCACCCTAATGAACAGACATCAAAACAGGGAAAGAAAAAAAGCACTCCTTTTTCAACCAGGTTTTATTTAGAACAAAACTTAAATTTAAAAAAATGAACTCATTTTGAAGCCAAGCATTTCCTAGTTAACCACTGTTAAATATAGGCATTTATTTGTCCCTAATGAAAAAGCAAAAAATCCTAAGAATTCCAAAAACTAAGCAAGTTAACACTGAGGCTGGAAAAATACATTCCCAAGATAGTTCTTCTAAATATGTCCCATAGGGGGCACCAGAGAGGTATGATTGAGGCAGACTTGGGAATCACAGTCATTTCTGGTAAAAGTTCTTTGATGTGAGGAATGTCCCAGCCTGGTACAGTTGGCAAAAGTTCACTCCGGGGAATTTTATGCGTGTGTCTGTGTGTGTGCGTGTGTGCGTGTCTGTGTGTGTGCGCATGCGTGTGTCTGTGCTGGGAAAGGGTGGTTAAGGAAGAAGAGAGCTAGTCTGGTATTTCTTGACTCCGAAAAGGAAATACCCCCTTGATTTATTTTCACAAGTTATCTGAGAAACAAACAGCAACCTTGGAAAAGTTCTGGGTCTTGTTTTTGTTTTGCTCTTTCATTAAAAGGGGGCCCAGCTGATGAAAACAAGTTATGAAATGACCCATGTTTGTGTAACTGGCTGGATTGCGTAATGCTCAGGCCCTGAAACCGTAATAGTCAAGCAGCCAGGCAGGGCATATATCTGCGAGGTGTTTTCCTAGGAAAGTTAGGAGAGAGAAAACAACAACAACCCCAAGGAGGGGGAGGTGCATGCACGAACAAAACAAAATCACCAATGACCAACCTTTGAGGCTAAAACTATAACTGGAACAGGAAATATTTTTCATACCTCAAGTTCCTGCCATATACAAGAACAGAGGATTTAAAAAAGAGTTGTCTGCCCCCCCCCCCAAAGTCATGGAACCCATGGCCATGTGTTACATTCAAGCTTTATGAAGCTAGAGAGGAGAGGAGAGCTCTGGGTTGAGTAACCAGCAACGAATTTATCGGGAATATTGAACCCCACAAACAAAGAGACCTGGAAAAAATAATACTCACTTGCTCAAGGAAAAACCAGAGAACCGTCTTACACTGACTGGTTCATTAAGATGCCCATCGACTAACTGCCGGGAAAGTCTCCCAGCAAAGGAAGCTGAGAGAAATAAAGTGATTACAGGCTTTATCTGGTATGTAATAAAGTTACCTGGAGATCGGGTGGGGTAATAACACAGACTTGTGAAGTTACAAAGCCTATAAGGTCAGTCTCCAGGACCACAGAGCAGTTTTGCTCAAAGTCGGAGCGATGATGGAAAAACCCTCCCTGCTCCTCCACCCCCTCCGGCCACCGCTGCCCCCACCCAGGAGCAGGCAGACCAAAACACTTGTCTAATGTGGCATTACCTTGATAATCGCTTTGGTTTGAAAGGCACCTCACTCATGCCGCTCAGCCGAAAAGTCAGGCATATATGCGAGAACCCCGTGCACTGGTTATTGCTAATTGCAAAATCCTCATGTGTTACAGCATGCTAGGAATTAGCCAACAGCTGCTTTTTGCTTCGGTAATGAGGCCCCATTACACTCTGCTGGACTGAGTTCTCTTCCTTCTTCCTAGCACTGGTTTCCTGTCTGATTTTCTTCCAAAAGAGGGAATTGCCTCCGCTCACATCCTGGGCTCAAAGCCCTAGTGACACAGATTATTCAGTTGGGGCACTGATGTCCGGTCTGACTTCCAGGCCCCAGAGTCTGAGCGAAGCCAGGCAGCGAGATTGTGACATCTCGATGATCGCTGCTATAGACACATTAGTGAAAGAACAGAGAAGAAATCAAAAGATCCCTTCCTGATTCTGAAAAGAGATAGGCGTTTGGGGGGTTGTTGAATTGGAGAGTGAGAGAATGGGTATAAGTGACTCCAACCCACTGCCTAATGATGTTTTGATTCAATACAAACCACCAGTGGGCTGGGAAGCAAACATAATCAACAAGTTTTTGAGTAAAACTTTGAACTCATCACCTTGGTGCTCATTATGGAGGGTGCATTGACTGAATCGTCAATGCACAGACTAGGCTCCCTACGGTCGGTGCTTATGGGGGCACCAAGGGGAGGTAGAGGGAAGACACAGGGAAGCTGTTTTGGGGACTCACCAGGTATGCGGAATCACTTTGGAACAAGGTAGCCCGCTTCAGATCCAAGAGAGAGGCCATGTTTCCATCATATTTTCCAGCTCAGTCCACCCCTCCCTGGAAGCCCACCCCAGCCCCTCCTGTCTGGCTGACTTCTAAAGGCCAAGGCCACCGCCTTGGGGAGCAACTTGCTGCAGCCAACTTGGCTAGAGACTCCACAGACGCTGACCAAGGTGGACTTCAGGTTATAGGGGGCCCTGTATGTTAATCCAGATCCCTCCCAAGACAGAGGGGGGGGCGCTGCTGCAGAGGGCAGGCGCCCTACCAGTACCACCACCCCACCAGCACCCTTCTGGTATTTATAAACACACACATATCGCACGCACAACCCCTCTAGTGCAAACCAGTCCGTCTGCTTTGGAAACAAGTTGTTTTTCTGCTTCCAGAACCATCCAGGACCTAAGTGATGTCCCTTTCTCCTACTTCTCTCTGCCGGCCTCCTTGCCTCAAGTACCTCCAGACCCTCAAGACGCTCCTCCTCCGGGGGCACTGCAGGCTCCTGCCCCAGACCCTTACAGGAGACAGGCACCGAGGTGGCGGCAGGAGCCAATCAAGGTTGGCCTCTTCCTTCCCGACCTTCGCACCTGATTCCCAGAGCGGCAACCCTCACCCTCACTCCGCATTTCTTAAGAACCCAACCGTATTTGAGTCCCCAACCTCTTTTGGAAATGAGCTGAGACTGACGGCGAATAGGGGAAGAGAGGGAGGGGGCTCTCCGGAAGAATAGGGTCCCTAGATGCCAGGAGGGGCCAGTGGGTGCGAAGATTTTCTTGTCTGTCCACCGCAGAGCGAGAGGAGAAGGCGCGGGGGTGGGGGGTGGGGGCGGGTATTCTTGG